GGATTTCGATTGTAATCTGTTCTATGATGCCAATGATGATAATTTTAATGATAGACAGCTACGGAACAGAAATACACTGTCTAAGCCTGACTATTATGGTGTAGCAAACTACTGTGACATAGTTGAACCCATAAGTTATGAAAGATGAAATAATTAAAAATAAGAAGGAAATCTTTACATTAAAATTTGAACTCTTAGATGATAATGAAGAAAAAGACAATGATGATATGTATGATATTCAAGAAAGTGACAATGAAGAGAGTTTAGACATGTCACAAGGTAGTAGGTCTCAAGCAACAGATCATGATGATGAGGATTTCGATTGTAATCTGTTCTATGATGCCAATGATGATAATTTTAATGATAGACAGCTACGGAACAGAAATACACTGTCTAAGCCTGACTATTATGGTGTAGCAAACTACTGTGACATAGTTGAACCCATAAGTTATGAAAGTGCAATAAAGTGTGAGGACTCTAGCAAGTGGCAACAAGCAATGCAGGAGGAAATAGATGCCCTCAAGTTTAATATCACATGGAACTTGGTGAAATTGCCCAATGGTGCAAAAGTGATAGACAATAAGTGGGTTTATCGTGTTAAGATTGACTCAGACGGTAATCCTGTTCGTTATAAAGCACGTCTGGTTGCACGCGGTTTTATGCAAGAACGTGGAATAGACTATGAAGACACTTTCGCGCCGGTTGTGCGGTATGACTCAGTGCGAATTTTGTTATCGTTAGCAGTGGAAAAAGACCTTAGACTTGCTAATTTTGATGTACAGACTGCATTCCTATATGGTGACCTACCAGAGTGTGTGTACATGAAGCAGCCAACTGGTTTTGAAAGTAAGAAGTCACACAACTTGGTGTGTAAATTAAATAAAAGCTTATATGGACTTAAGCAATCACCAAGATGCTGGAACCAGAAGTTTGTATCCTTTCTTAATAAATTTGACTTTAGACAATTAAAAAGTGATCAATGTGTCTTTGTTGGTAATTTTGGAAATTCTGAAACTTATTTAGCAATTTATGTTGATGATGGACTTGTCATGTCAAAATCAGAAAGAGCTATTAATGAACTTTTAGAAACTTTAAAGCAAATATTTAAAATAACTGTAAATTTAAATAGTAAATTACATTTTGTTAGACTTGAGATTGAACAAGATCTTAGTGCAGGTACAGTTGCTATTCATCAACATATTTATATAGAAAAACTTCTTGTTAAATTTAATATGACTAATGCTAACCCATTAAAGATTCCTGCAGAGCCTAGTGTACCTTTGTCTAAAGGAAATATTTTAAATTGTAATAAATCTTTGCCATATCGTGAGGCTGTTGGTTCACTAATCTTTCTAGCAACCACCAGTCGCCCAGATATTACATTTGCAGTTAATCAGGTGAGCAGGTTCTTTAATGCTTGGAGTGATGAACATTGGAAAGCAGTAAAACTAATTTTTAGATATCTAAAATATACTGCTCATTATAAAATTGTGTACATAAAAACTACACAAATCAAGGTAATAGGCTACACTGATGCAGACTATGCTGGCTGCCTGGATACAAGAAAATCTACTAGTGGATATGTATTTATACTAGGCAATGGTCCTATTACCTGGAAGAGCCAAAAACAAAACATAGTGGCACAGTCAACTACAGAGGCCGAATATGTGTCCTTGGCTTTTGGTGTTAGAGAAGCTTTATGGCTTAGAAATTTTTTAAAAGAGATTGGAATTGATGTCTCACCTGTCAATATCTTTGTTGATAATCAATCTGCCATTAAGCTAACACAGGCACAACAATTTCATAGCAGAACAAAGCATATTGATATTAAGGTTCACTTTGTTCGAGATGAATGTGAAAACAATAATATCTGTGTAAGCTATGTCAATACAAGTAATCAGTTAGCGGACTTGTTTACAAAAGCATTGTCAAAGACAGTTTTTAACAATTTATTGAATAAGTTAAATTTGTCAATTTAAATTATGTATTTGTTAATTTGTATTAGATCTTTGCTTTCATGTCTTTTGTATTAGGTCTTTGTATTCAAATCTTGAATAAGTGGGAGTGTTAATATAAGCTCCCGCACTAATGTAATATTCAAGATATAAGAAAAAGAAGAATTAAGTTTTTAAGGTTATGTCAATGTTCTCAAATATGTAATAACGGTTACACATGTTTAATTAATATTCTTAGTTTCTCAGGCTAATAATTATTGTTTAATAAACTTTTACAATTCGACAGTATAGTTATTTTATTTATCATAAAACTTTATTTTTCAACGGCGTACAGATTAGTGGAAATCGATTTCTTTGCGTTTTTACCCCCCTGCGAGGGAGCAGTACAAGAGGGGGGAGTACAAGACACGAAAGTGAAAAGAGGCTCAGAGACTGGCAGTGATCATCATCTAGTAATAATGAGAATAAGAACAGCAAAAGAAAGGGAAGAAAGGAGGGGAAAGGTATTAAATGAAAAAGTAAAAAGCTACAAATTAAAAGAAGAAAGATATAAGAAGATATTCCAAGAAAAATTAGACAATATTTTAAAAGGTAGGGCAAAAACTGCAAGTATGGAAGAAAAGTGGAAAAATCTCAAGACCAACTTAATCATAGCTGCTGAGGAACCTTGCGGGAAGACAAAAATAGCAAATACTAGTATGAGGAGAAGAACTGAATAGTACGTACGGAGGAAATACGAAGGAAAATAAAAAACAAAAAAAAATGACATATAAAGACAAAAGAAAAAAAGTTAAAATAGCTGTGAAAGCAGAAAAAGAAAGGTCATGGGAAAAGTTTGGACTAAAAATGTCAAATAATTATAGGGAAAATCAAAAACTCTTCTATGACGCATTAAAATAGCTCAATCAAAAGAAAGAACACATGATGCCAAATATAAAAGACAAGAATGGAAAGGTAATAATAGAAGAAAACCAAATAATAGAAAGATAAAGAGAACATTTCAAAGAGCTAATTCATACAGACGTAGACAACATAGTGGAGATACAAGAAATAAATGAAGAACAAAAAGTAGAACCCATAACAACAGAGGATCTAGAAAATACAATTGAAAGAGTTGAGTTAAATTAGGCAAAGCACTAGGCAAGGATCATAATGAATAATATCATAAAGAGAGCAGAAATATCACAGGACTGGAAGAAAGACATTATACTACCAATACACAAAAAGGTCGACAAGAGAAACTGTAATAATTACCGAGGTATTACTATATCAAGTACTCCTGGGAAGGTATTCGCAAAAGTAATAGAAACAAGAATAAAAACCCAAAGAGAACCAACTATGGAAGATACACAATGTGGATTCAGGAAGGACAGAAGCACACAAGACCACATATTCACAATAAGACAAGTAAGTGAGAAAGTAATCAATAAAAATAGAGAAATAGGTACATATATGCTTTATTGATCTGGAAAAGGCGTTTGGCAGAATCCAAAGAAAGGATGTATGGAGGACATTAAAGGAAAAAGGAGTTGACAGGATAACAATTGATGTAATAAATAATATGTACAATAATAATACAAATACGGTGGGAACCAATAATGAGGATTCCGAATAATTTACTACAAGTCAAGGCGTCAAACAGGGATGCGTGTTGAGCCCACTGCTGTTCTCAGTAGTACTAAATAAAGCAATAAAAAAAAATCCAAGAGAAGAATGAGAAAACTAACATTAGGATACCGGCAAATGAAATAGACTCAACTATTAGAGCTTCTATTTGCAGACGACATGGTTTTGATAGCAGAAAACAAAGAAGACCTACAAAACAACCTAGAAATCCTAGAAGAAGAACTGACAAACATAAATATGAAGATAAATACAAGTCAAAGCGTCAAATAGGGATGCGTGTTGAGCCCACTGCTGTTCTTAGTGGTACTGGATGAAGCAATAAAGAAAGCCAAGAGAAGAATGAGAAAACTTACATTAGGATACTGGCAAATTAAACAAACTCAACTATCAAAGCTTCTATTTGCAGACGACATGGTTTTGATTGTAGAAAACAAAGAAGACCTACAGAACAACCTTAAAATCCTAGAAGAAGGACTGACAAACATAAATATGAAGATAAATACAGAGAAAACAAAAATAATGATAATTTCCACTAAGAGAAAGACACACGCAATACAATTAAACGAAAAACATTTTAAATACCTAGGAGTAATAATTAAATCAAACAGTAAACAAGACATGGAAATAAATGAGAGAATGGAACGAACAGGAAGCCTATTTAACACTATAAAAACAACATTTTTGGGGAAAAAAGAAATACCGGAAAAGGTGGCAGTCGTTAAATAAGTAGTTAGACCTACAATCATGTATGATAGCTAGTCATGGGCATTGACTATGATACAAAAATCTCGAGTCAATACTACGAAAATGAGGTTCCTGAGAAAAATAGCAAACAGAAAGAGGACAGACAAAATACGAAACGAAACAATCAGACAAAACCTAACACTAGAACCAATAAACGAAAAAAGAGTAGAGAAGAAACTAAGATAGTTCGAGCACGTGTGTAGAATGTAAAATAAAAGATTAAAAAAACGAGTGTTTGAAACGATAGTGCAAGGGAGAAACAAACGAGGAAGATCAAGAGTAAGGTGGGTAGACGAAATCAGAAAAGAAGTTGAGAAGAAAGGATTGACATGGGGAAGTGCACGAACTCTAACACAAGACCGGAAAGCATGGAGACAACAGTGCAAAACTTAACTCCACCAGCCTTACATATAACGGTAGAAAGGCTTAGGACTAAGTAAGTAAAGTCCATCGCATTTAAAAAATTTTAATTATTTGTTATTGATTATAAAGTGTAGTAATTTATTTGATTTCAAATCGGACAAATAAATTCCAATAATGGTAATTAGCAATGGGATGTGTAGGATAAAATAAAATTAAACTAAGTAAATAAGTGACTATAAAATCCTTTGTTGATTAATGAATATGCAAAATTAATATGGTCTTGCAACAGCTAAACATGTAAATTAATCCATTTTACTTCTTTACATCCTTTACATTCTTTACATCCTTTATATCCTTTACATCCTTTACACCCTTTACATCCTTTACATCCTTTACATCCTTTAAATCCTTTACATACTTTACATCCTTTACATCCTTTACATCCTTTACATCCTTTACATCCTTTACATCCTTTACATCCTTTACATCCTTTACATCCTTTACATCCTTTACATCCTTTACATCCTTTACATCCTTTACATCAATTACATCCTTTACATCCATTACATCCATTACATCCTTTACATACTTTACATCCTTTACATCCTTTACATCCATTACATCCATTACATCCTTTTCATCCTTTACATCCTTTACATCCTTTACATCCTTTACATCCTTTACATTCTTTACATCCTTTACATCCTTTACATCCTTTACATCCTTTACATCCTTTACATCCTTTACATCCTTTACATCCTCTACATGGTTTACATCCTTGACATCCTTTAAATCATTTACCTCCTTTACATCCTTTACATCCTTTACATCCTTTACATCCTTTACATCTTTTACATCCTTTACATCCTTTACATCCTTTACATCCTTTACACACTTTACATCCTTTACATCCTTTACATCCTTTACATCCTTTACATCCTTTACATCCTTTACATCCTTTACATCCTTTACATCCTTTACATCCTTTACATCCTTTACATCCTTTACATCCTTTACATCCTTTACATCCTTTACATCCTTTACATCCTTTACATCCTTTACATCCTTTACATCCTTTACATCCTTTACATCCTTTACATCCTTTACATCTTTTACATCCTTTACATCCTTTACATCCTTTACATCCTTTACATCCTTTAAATCATTTACCTCCTTTACATCCTTTACATCCTTTACATCCTTTACATCCTTTACATCCTTTACATCCTTTACATCCTTTACATCCTTCACATCCTTTAATCCTTTACATCCTTTACATCTTTTACATTTTTTACATCCTTTACATCCTTTACATCCTTTACATCCTTTACATCCTTTACATCCTTTACATCTTTTACATCCTTTACATCCTTTACATCCTTTACATCCTTTACATCCTTTACATCCTTTACATCCTTTACATCCTTTACATCCTTTACATCCTTTACATCCTTTACATCCTTTACATCCTTTACAACCTTTACATCCTTTACATCCTTTACATCCTTTACATCCTTTACATCCTTTACATCCTTTACATCCTTTACATCCTTTACATCCTGTATATCCTTTACATTCTTTATATCCTTTACATCTTTATATCCATTACATCCTTTACATTCTTAACATCCTTTACATCCTTTACATCCTTTACTTCCCTTACATCCTTTACATCCGTTACATCCTTTACATCCTTTACATTCTTTATATCCACCAATTATGTAAAATTTAGAACAAAACAGACAGCCACAACAAATGATTTACAGTACAGTACCTTATCAATCAATATTTGGAATATTTTTCCAAATAACCATGCAGCAAACGCAAATCCCTATGCAACGAATGCATTTGACTTAGCAGCAGGTACAAATCCTTAGAGATCTAAGTCAAACATTTTTTTTACAATAATTACAACAAATTAGAAAAAAGACTTGATGGAACCTAAGAACAAAATCCCTTGGCAAAGTGTGAAAGGTACAACACGAAACAAATGTTAATGATGACTCTAAGAAAAAATAAACGTAAAGTTTCTCAATATTTTTCAACATAAATGAAGAAACAAAAAAGAAGACAAGTCTATTTGGCTTTACTAAAGACATAGCATTAGTGTCATATAAATCCAAACTAAATAAAATACTGTTTATTATGCTCTTAACAGTCCATTATAAGGATGAGATCGATAAAACAAATGCGGTAAGTGCACTACAACAGCACCAATGAAGAAGTGGACGTAGTGGATAAACTTCTTCTTCTTCTTTTTATATATGCATGACTCTTGCCTGTTTTTCAATGTGTCTCTTTGGTTGTTAATTTTAGTGTTGTGTTGAATAAATTAATTCCTCTGTAATTTTTCGTGTCTGATTTGCCTTGTTTTTGAAGAGAGGTATTAGGATTCTTGATCTCCATTCTTGAGGAATTTTGTTTTGTTCTAATATTTTTTGGATTGGTTTTAATAGTCATTTGATTAGATCTGGTCCTCCGTACTTTCGGAGTTTGTTTGGTATTTTGTCCTCTCCTGGTGATTTTCTAATTTTTAATTTTTTTAATGCTTTCTTTACCTCTTCCGTCTGAATACTTATATCTTCGTTTGTCGTCACCTCGAGTGTTGTTGGTTCATTATCGTCACCTTTAGCAAAGAGAGATCGAAAGTAGTCTACCGATGTTTTCTTTTAAATGTGTTTCGTTTTTATTGGTTCGTTCAGCTCTTTTCTTTGTCCTCTGATTATTCTACATATTTCTTTTTGTGTTCCGTAGAAGTCGTATTCCATCTGTTTTGAGAAACTCTGTCAGTGTTCTGTTTTATTTGTCTAACTAAAGTATTCGTTTCATTTCTGATTCGTTTATAGTAGTTGTATGCTTGTTGTGTTTGTTGTGTTCTGTATTGTAAAAAGGCTTTCTTATTTTCTTCACATTTTGTCTTCACTACGTCAGGGGAAAAGGGTGAAACCATTTCGGTTCTAGCTTGTGCTAGCGCTATAGGTACTTTTCTTCCCCCAACTGCAAAATAAAGGGCATGAACTTAAAAGTTAAGTTCATGGACGGGATGCCTCCTGGCTCAGTTGTCACAACAATCTTCTTATGTCACTAGTGAAATATTTCTGCACCGGTTAAAAAGTCAATTCCAACCTAGAAAACCAGCCGGGATAGTACTTCTCTTAGTTTATGGACACACTTTACTCACCAGTTCCTTGGAAGTTCTAGTGTACATGGAGCAAGAAGAAATCATTTTAATGAGCATTTCACCCCATACTTTGCACTGGCTACAACCTTTGGACCGATCCTTTTTCAAATCACTTAAGTCCTACTTTTATAGTCCTTAATTATTTCATTACAAACAATCCATCCAAAAAGATCAATCGTCTGCAGTTTTAAAAACTCAACTCTGCATGGACCAAAGCTGCAGGTGAACAAAACGGTGTGAGTGGATTTCAAGTTTGTGGCAAAGTCCCTCTAGATATGTCTGTAATATCAGCCTACGCCTACCTAGAGCCCGATTCCTTCGGTGCAGTGCCCATTGTCCAAGTATTGGCGCATATTCTCGCTAGCGCACCAACCGGCGACGTTGATCCTGTTGCATCCAATGCAGAACTTATCAGACAACACGTCAATGCTGTAACTAGTGTGTCAACAAGTGACACTGTTGATGTTTGTTTTGTCTCCTGTGCAGTACCGAAAACTTAATTTGATCTTGCTAGTATCCCCAGTACTTCTGGTAGCCTTACACCTATAAAAATGATTCCTTCTAAACTTCTGGAACATATATCACCCGTCCCTTCTCTCACGCAGAAAGAAATTGTTAAGAGATGTTTAACTACTGTTTCAAAAATATTAAATTCAGCTCAGAACATTGCTATTGTAAAAAGGAAGGCAGTTGAGCAAGCAATAAAAGAGAAACAAAAAAAAAAGAAACAATATCAACTGAGAAAAAAAATTGAATCAAAAAAGAAGTTTCTCAGGCCAAAAAAGGAACCATCTGGCAAAGTTACACAGTTTAAAAGTTCATATTCAGAAAGCTATGATTCTGTAGATCTAGTTCAACATGACGGTATGTCAGTAGAAGAATGGGATGAAGATGAATGTGCGGGATGTGGAGAAGCTTACAATGAAACTACAAAAAAAAGAAGACTTGGTAAAGTGTGTACACTGTACAGTGTTCTCGGTGGTTTTATAAAGGTTGCTCTAGATTTGAAGTAAAATGTAACTTTGGGGGTACCAAGGAAATAATGTCACAAAAAGGGAAGTTTCCCATTAATAGGAAGATTGTGGTCAAGAAAGTAAAAGAATAGACTTGTTTGTTTTTTTATTTGGTTATTGTAACATTTATTATTATGTAAAATATACATATTTTTTACTTTGTACTTGGTTTGTAGTCATTGATCCTACTTTTTACCCCTGGTTCATCGCAGACACGTCCGGGTGAGATGGAATATGCAAAGTTTTGGAGAAAATGCAATGTAGCCTTTATTAATAATATTCAATTCGAAAGTAAACTCTTATGGGTATAAAACTAAATTATTTGCCAAATGCTTAAATAATAATGTTAATAAGTTGACAAATATAATTTTAGTGAGCGTTCAAAGAAATATGGTCCAACTCTTCCGGACTTACCGTAATATAAATATTTTGTGCATTTAAAGAAAATTTTATATGAACATTTATGTATTTTATCATCATTCAAAAGGATGATTTTAAATCTCATTGTAATTATTTTATTTTCAATTTTACTACCTATCTATTTACTACTCCGCAATTTGCGAGCTATTAGTCGCTGGTCCTTCAAGATTTATATTATATTTTTATCTACCAAATGTAGAAAGGTGAGAATATAGTTTTACAAATGTTTGCTTTTAGATCATCGAACCAAGTACCTCATCCCTTCTACTACACATGCCATCTGTAGCCCGTGATAAGAAAGTCGTGTTTCCAGAAACTGTATCAAATCTAAGATGGCGTATTCGATCTTTCGTTTGATTTTACAATGATATTAAATGAGAAATGAACTGTATATAATACGACAAAGGGGTCGCTAACAATAATTTTTTTTCAAAAGGGGTCCTTAATATGAGAAATGTGGGAAACACTGCCTTAATGGATACAATAATTAGATAACGTTTTACTGGATTATTTAAAGTGAATTTCTTAACATAAAACGATTACCCTTGATAAGATACGTACAAAAAATTAATTGTAAGTAATTTTAACAACAAAATAATACCGTCAATACTTCAGTACTTACTGTATACTGTATACGAAAATTTTAATACCTACCCCATTAATAATCTGATTTGCAGTTAGGGCACACACTATACCTACTACCAAAGAAACTATTCCGATGCATCTTTTTGTAATTCCATTTAAACGATCGATATTTCTAAAATACAATAAAATAATAATAAAAATAATTACAGGACAATAAAAACCAGACTAACTTGTATAAACATAGACTTGAATATAACATAAGTACAAGATCCCACTGTAGGACCACTAATAGACTTAGGCAAATACGCATATAAAAAAGTATGAAATATGTGCATAAATATGCAGTATTTTATGCAAAATAGATATATTTTATGCAACATAGATTATCAAATGATGTTAAAAATTTTCTAATCAAAACTTATAGATTCTATCTGAATACATATATTTGTAAATAGAAAAACTTCTTTCGACATCAACTGATGTAGCTGGGGCATTTTTCATATTTACTATAATAGATAGTTCTAAATTAAGTGGTTCGAAAAATGTCCCAGTACTTAAACCAGTTCAGAAAGAATCTGATAACCATTATTTTTTTTCGATGGTTACTTTAAATTTGTGAAAAATTTCCTTTCCAATAGTACCTTTAACGTTTTGACACAATGACTCAAATTCTTTTATTAAAACTGTACTCTCTAACAATAATATTTTGGAGTTTGCTAATTGAGTTCTAGTTTTCTAGACAAAACTATAATTTGATTTTATGAATGACAGTTGCTGTTGGAGGATGTTATTTTGGAAGGCTTGCTTAGCTTCGAATAAAGATTGGCAACTATCATCCGTTAAAAGATTAATTTTTTTTAATCAACAAAATGATCATCATAGAAATTAGCTGCTTCATCCAAGTGAAATGTATTAAGTTTGGATAAAATATTTTTAAATTTTGTCCTCTTTTCACCATATATGATGCGGTGTTAGATAAAATGAGCAATAATTTATCATTAGGCACAGCAGCAGGAAGAAATAAGTTTGCTAATGCTTCTTGTAGAAACCGTGATATTGTTAGAGAGTTGGTTTTTTCCACTTGCTTACAGGAAATTTAATACGATTTTGGAAAGGTTTCATCGCTAAGTACACTAATCAGTAAGTGCACAATGTATCTTCCTGACGAGCCAGTGGTCTCGTCCACACATATGTAAAGGTAATTATTACCTATTTCGGCTTTTATGTTGTGGGAAACTGAGGAGTATAACAAATTGACATTATTTCTCTTTAGAGTTCGTTCACTGGGAGGGTTTTGTTTGCAATATTTTTTTAAATAGAATTAAGTTTTCATTAAATAATTTTGAAAGCGTTAAGTCCAATATATCTAAGCTAAGTACACCAATCAATAAGTGCATAATGTGTCTTCCTAACGGTTTTGCCACAACGTGAGCAATAAACTTTATCCATATCTATAGATATCTCTTTGTTAGCTTCTATCCAAGTTAAAACATTGTTTATTTTCACCATTTTCAAAGCACACTATCTATTCACAATTAGAAATACACGTTGTTTACGCCTCTAATTTTACAACAAAAGTGAAACCAAGTCAAACTGAATGTCAAAATAAAAATTTTTACCTAAAGACCTAAAATGATTTACACAAACTCTTAATTCCAGGACAAAACGTGACAAAACTATAAGCCGCTGCCTTTTATTAGTTACTATACCAAGAATTTGAATACAAAATGATTGTAAAATAAACTTAAGTATTGCCATTTTCAAGCTATCTGTAAGTTTGAATATAAAAATATATAGTTAACACCAAATTTTCAAATTATACGCACTTTATGCTCACTTTTATAAAAATATGCAAAATTTAACATTTTTGTAATTTTTATGCATTATATGCAAAATATTGTTACGATAATAAATATTATGGCATATAAAAACTGTAAACATATTTACTCATTCACGAATGTTCTAGGTTAAATACTACCGAATTCTCCAAAAGGGTCGAACCAGTCCAGGTAACAATAGTGCAGTTGACGGCTCGAGCACTCCGAATTTTATTAGACGAAAAAGCGATCGACTTTTCTAGATCAGCTGAATGAGTCACCTAATGGATGTAACGTCATCAATGCATCCCCAGAACCTTCTAAATAACGGCATTTTATATATAAATAACATGGATTTTATTGAAAAAGGTAGTCAATAAGAAGTCTGGTCTCGCGGTAAATTATATCGCACGTAAATAAAATATTTGTTATTATTAAGTGTAAAATAAATTAGTAGTAATAAAGACTTTAATAAATTCTTAAGTGTTATACATATTGAACCTTTAGTAAATTAAGATAAGAACAATAAATTGGAATTATTAAAGACTTAACATTTGGTGTAAGACGAACAAATGGTACGAACTTACAGTTACGAATTTAAGAAGGCATCCTGAGGACAGAGAATTAGCTTTTACCGGAAAAAAGGCTGAGTTAGTCCAACGACTAAAGAACGCTTTGGAGGAAGAGGGTTCAGATCCGGAAACCTATATATTTGAAGATGCTGTCATCTCGTCGATTTCGAAGGTAGAGAACAAAGTTTCTGACGATATTTCGAAAGTTTTTTCCGATGTAGCCAAAGTTTCTGGTGACATCGCATCACTAGGGAACAAAGTTTCTGGCGATATTTCGAAAGTTTCCGGAGACATCGCTTCTTTAGAAAGCAAAGTTTCTAACGAGATTTCTTCTCTGGAAAGCAAAGTTTCTGCTTCCATCTCTAAAGTCACTTCTGAGATATCTGCCCTCGACGATAGAGTGTCTTTATTAAAAAACCAAGTTGCTGCCGATATGTTGGCCTTCGAAGAAAAGATATGGAGAGAGATGGAAAGGAAGATCGAGGGAACAGGAATAGCAGAGAGAGTGAACAATCCAATTACCGTAGACACAAAAGAAGATGTAGTAGACACGAAATGTAAGTTAGAAACACGGTCGAAATTTGAAGGAAGTGGAGGTTCTGTTCATGTCAAAATCCCAACTTTCGACGGAAAATCGTCATGGAACAACTACATGAAACAGTTCGAATCAGCTGCAAGAGCGAATGGATGGTCTGAAAAAGAAAAGGCTGTAAACCTGACTATCGCTCTTCGAGGAGATGCTTTAGATGTGCTTCAGACCATAGCCGTAGAGAAGACGGATGATTTTGAACAACTTAAGAAGAGTTTAAATATGCAATATGGCCACGAACATTTGGAGCATGTATATCAGTCGCAGCTTAAAAATCTAAGACGAAAGAAAGATGAGGCTCTTGAAGAATATGAGGTAGATACTGCTAGATTAGTACCATATGCTTATCCAACAGCTCCCGAAGACATGATGGAAAAGTTGGCCGTTCAAACGTTTATTGATGGTTTTCGTGAACATGAAATGCAAAGAACACTGCGATTAGCTCGTCACAAAACGCTGGTTGATGTCTTATCCGCCGCCCTCGAATACGAGTGTACTACGCAGGCCTCTGGCGGGTACAGTGAAGTTAGGACTGTAAAAGAGGAAGAAGATGAAGATAAACTTGACCAGCTCGTTAATATGATGAAAAGCATAACACACAAGAAAACGACGAACCTAAGAACGAAGACAAAACCAGAACGGGTCGGCTTTAGGGCAGCAGCTTCGACCCAGAACTTTTCCAAAGACCCTCTCATACTAATAGCTTCTTTTCAATGTCGTGAAGATAGTGTCTATGTAAATGGAGACATAAATGGTAAACAGCATACGTTGTTGGTGGATACCGGAGCGACCAGAAGCATTATACGCCCGACAGTTATAAACAGCCGAAAGAAACTGTTATCAACGATTCATGGAGAAATCCAGATACAATTAGGAATTGGAGCAGAAAAGTTCTGTTATAGTTGCTGACATCGAAGTGGATGTTATATTAGGAATGGACGTAATGAATACGCATGGATTCCAGTTGGATTTTAAGAATAAGGTGATCAAAGTTGGTAACAAGGAGGTATTTCTCCATCCACATGATGACAACACTATGCAAGCAGCCGTTAAAGAAGATACAGTCGTGCGTGCGAGAAGTGAAACGATAATAGTAGCGTGCCTACAGGGAATTGTGGACGAAGGGACACCTGTAATGATGGAGCCTTGGAACCATGACAACGAAGTCGGCCATGGAATCATAATTGGAAAGGAATTGGTGACTTCGGCTAAAGAAATTCCTGTGAGACTTATCAATGTCAATAACTACCCAGTGATAATCAAGAAAGAGACAAAAGTTGGAACTTGTGTACCTGTGACATCCATAATCCGTTAGACGACAACGTCTGATAACTCCAACGACAAATCTGACGAAATGGTTGCAGTTGCTGGACAGTCTCTGAATCAAATTGAGAAAAGGAAATTAAGGGAATTTCTTCGGCAGTTTCGTGGTATTTTTGTACCAAAAGGAGGAAAGACGGGAAAAACTACCGTTGTTAAGCATAAAATTGATACTGGTAATGCTAAGCCAATTCGTCAAACAGCTCGACGATTACCACAGGTGAAAAGAGAGGAAGCTGAAACGATTGTTCAGGAAATGAAGAACGACGGGGTAATAGAACCTTCTACAAGCCCATGGGTCTATCTGGTGGTCTTGGTTAAGAAGAAAGACGGAACAACGAGGTTTTGTGTGGATTACCGTTTGCTGAACAACGATACCAAGAAAGATAGTTATCCTCTGCCTCGGATCGATGACACATTGGACACATTGGCTGAAAGTAAATTATTTTCTACTTTGGATTTGACGTCTGGATACTGGCAGGTAAAAATGGACCCGGTAGATAAAGAAAAGACAGCCTTCACCACAGGATCGGGATTATGACAATTCAACGTTGTGCCATTTGGACTCTGTAATGCTCCTGCGACAATTGAGAGGCTTATGGAAAATGTGTTTAGAGGGTTCTCTTGGAAAACATGCCTAGTTTATCTAGATAATATAATCGTATTGGGGGAGACATTTAAAGATCATTTGAGGAATTTAGAAAACGTTTTTAATCGACTTAAAGCTGCCCAATTGATGCTAAACCCCAAGAAGTGCCAGCTATTTCAATGTAAAGTTAATTATCTAGGTAATATCGTCAGTAAATAAGGAGTGGCCGTGGATAAGAGAATAATCGATTTCATTAAGAAATGGTCAAAACCAACTGACAAACATCAAGTGAGAAGTTTTCTGGGACTATGTACTTACTACCGGAGGTTTATTACGAAGTTTGCGGATATCGCTAAGCCATTAACACGACTCACATATGAAGCAAGAGATTTCCGCTGGGATACAGACCGGCAAAATGCTTTTGAGACCTTAAAAAAGCATTTAATCACAGCACCAATTTTAGGGTATCCACTACCAGAAGGAGAGTTCATCTTAGATACAGATGCAAGTAATGTGGGAATTGGAGGAGTGCTGTCTCAGATTCAAAGAGGACAGGAAAGAGTTCTTGAATATTTTAGTAAGGTTCTCTCAAAACCTGAGCGGAATTATTGCGTCACGAGAAGAGAACTTCTGGCAGTAGTGAAATCAGTAGAGCACTTCTATTAATACCTTTATGGAAGGAAGTTTTTAATCCGAATCGACCATGCCGCCCCTAAGTGGTTGATGCAGTTTAAGAATCCAGAGGGTCAGATAGCCAGGTGGATCGAACGACTCCAAGAATATGATTTCAAGATTAAGCACCGGGCCGGAGTTAACCACCGAAACGTTGATTCTCTTTCCAGAAGGCCATGCCCATTAGAGTGTTCTTACTGCAACAAAACAGAATCCAAGGAAGCAGCAGTGCTAAGAACGACGGTGGTCAACGACAACTGGACGCCTACCAAGATCAGTGAAGAACAAGAGAGAGATCCAGTTATACAGAAAATCCGAAAATGGAAAGAGGAAAACCGTCGACCACGTTGGCAAGAAATATCAAACCTACGCTCAGTAGTTAAGACGTATTGGGCCCAGTGGGACTCATTTATCATGGAAGATGGCTTGCTCAAACGAGTCCTGGAAAGTGATGACGGTTTAGAGAAGAGAAGGGAGTTGGTGATCCCAAAGAGCAGAATAGCCGAGGTACTTCGTCAGTTACACGACAGTCCATCAGGAGGGGATTTAGGTGTAAATAAGACCCTTCAGCGAATTCGGGAACGGTTTTATTGGATGAACAGTTCCGACGATGTAAAAGACTGGTGTAAGAAATGTACTATTTGTGCTCCGAGTAACGGGCCTTATCGAAAAAGGAGAGCTCCTGTGAGACAATATAATGTTGGAAGCCCGTTTGAAAGAATGGCTTTGGACATTGCTGGGCCATTTCCAGAAAGTGATAATGGAGGCAAGTACACGTTAGTAGTAATGGATTACTTCACTAAGTGAAAAATTTCACTAAAGGACACCACCGTTGCAGATAAGTTGATTCAAGAATATATCAGCCGATTTGGAGTGCCTTTGGAGATCCATAGTGACCAAGGCAGGAACTTCGAAAGCGATCTATTATAAGGAATATGTGATAGACTAGGTATGAAGAAGACAAGAACTACGGCTTATCATCCGCAATCGGATGGTATGGTAGAACGGATGAAAAGGACAGTTGGCAAGGATTTGACAAAGATGGTGTCCGATCATCAGCGAGACTGGGACCAATATCTTCCGTTCTTTACAATGGCCTACAGATCTACCGTTAACGAATCGACAGACCAGACACCAGCCAGAGTCCTATTCGGACGCGAGATGCGACTACCTTGTGATCTAGAGTTTGGGTGTCGACCTGGAGAAGATGTATCCAGTGAAGATTATGTGATCGAATTACGAAGAAGAATGGACGTTGTACACGAGTTGGTCCGTTCTTATTTCCAGATCGCTAGTGACCGAATGAAGAAACGGTACGATACGCAAGCCGAAAAGGGGTGTTTTAAGAAGAACGACAAAGTCTGGCTCTATAATCCCAAAAAGCGAAAAGGTTGTTCTCCCAAGTTGCAGCAGTTTTGGGAAGGTGCATACCTCATTATGGAGAAGATCAATGATGTCATTTACCGAATAAGCAAGATTCCGAGGGGAAAGCCGATGATAGTACACCATAACCGGCTGGCGTCTTTCGAAGTTGACCACGACGTAGATGAAGAAGTGGAAGTAAACCAAGTCCAAAATGTGTCTGACCTCACGTTTGAGGAATTCATGGGTGCCTATGGAGGTACCGGTAAAGCAAGACATGGTGTTACCACTGAAGAAAAGTAAGATCTACTCGTGCTTCCCGATGACTACTCACTGGCCCTTACCATCCCGGCCAGTATCAAAGACGCACCAGGGTTGGTATCCGTCTTTCGAAGGAAGTTCGATCGAGTTGCAGAACTTTAATGCCAAGTGCCAGCTCCCGGTAAAACCTTGAAACTCCAAGATGCATCACGTTACCTTTTCTACCTGGTGACAAAAGACACTGCCCGTGACCAACCTACCTACCGAGATGTATGGGAAGCCTTACTTCAGTTAAGAGAGCACCTACTAGAGTCCGACGTGTAGAAGTTAGCCATGCCAAAGTTGGAGTGCCGCCAATTAGATTGGAGGGTTATACGAAATATGGTGGAGAAGATTTTTAAAGTCACCGAAGTCCAGGTGTTAGTCTGTTGCAATCCGCATAGTTCCTGGTGCGGAGAGAAAACCGTCCCGTTCCAGGAGGAACCATCTTTTAAGAGCGGGGCAATGTTACGATAATAAATATTATGGCGTATAAAAACTGTAAACATATTTACTCATTCACGAATGTTCTAGGTCAAATACTACCGAATTCTCCAAAAGGGTCGAATAACCAGTCCAGATAACAATAGTGCAGTGGACGGCCCGAGCCCTTCGAATTTTATTACACAAGAAAGCGATCTAGTTTTCTAGACCAGCTGAATGAGTCACCTAATGGATCTAACGTCATCAATAACATTTTATTAAAAAAGGCAGTCAACAAGAAGTCCGGTCTCGCGGTAAATTGTATCGCACGTAAATAAATTATTTGTTATTATTAAGTGTAAAATAAATTAGTAGTAATAAATACTTTAATAAATTCGTGAGTGTTATAAATATTAAAGCTTTAGTAAATTAAGATAAGAACAATAAATTAGAATTAATAAAGACTTAACAATATGCAATTTGCATATTTGCCTAAGTCTAATCACTACGGTTACAATGTAATTCATCAAACTCACATTTTTATACACATGTAAAATTAGAAGAATACATTGATAATAAGTTGCTAGTCAAAAGTAGGTGGCGGCAAATATTTTTAATTCTATTATTAATAGTAATTCATTTTAGAGAAATTTAATTTCGTTTGTTTATTTTTTAAATAAAATACGTTGCTTATCATGTATATGAATGTGTTTTATATCAAATTAAAGCTAATTTTATTTCTCAATGTGATGGTGTAAGGTTTCTTGAGAAAAAATGGTCATAAATTAGGGTTGCTAGATGTTAAAAACGCGAGGTACCAAGGAATAAAGTAAATTTTATACTAAACATATTAGAAACCGTAATTGCCGTGACGCAAATTTTTAGCATAAGAAAAACTTACCTAATAATACGAAAATTGTATGCAATCCATTTATTTAATCTTCTTCGCTGCTCTTCTTTATTATCAGTTTCGAAAATATTGTGAAACATATTATTTAAATGCTCAACGTGAATGGCTAATTGTTGAGAAATTTCCCAGGCAAGAGAATTCCCAAACCAACTAAAATTATTAAATTTTTTTAACTACTATATCTTTCATTAGATCACATGAATTACACAAATTGTAACAAAATGTATTTAGTATTAATATAGATTATAGAACCGTTTTAAAATATTGTCGCATTTACAGACACTTAAAACTGTATTTAAGTCCAGCAGAAAATTGTTATCAAATTTTTGAGAACCATATTTTGCAAATTATATTTCTGATATATTTAATTTAGAAGAAAAGGAATTTAATCTTTGCAGATAAGTTAAATAGTACTCTAAAATAATATCTCCCCAAACTGGGATCTAACTTCATCGGTTTTACCAATGAACCTTAACGACATAAATATTCAAAAGTTCTACTTGTAGTTATCAGCGCTTTTGTTCTGAGTAAACAGAACCTCACATTCAAACTTTATAACAATCAAAAATTTAGTTATTGCCGACAATTCAAAGAATTTTTTCCTTTTAAATGTAGTTACATTTTGTTTTTCGATTAACCTTGGGTAAACATTTTCGTTTTAAATTCAAAGCTACCATACATTTCCAACGTTGAAAAAAAACTTTTTTACACATAGTAAGAAAAAACACCACTATGTTGTTACTAGCTAAGTTTTTTACCATCCTAACTCGACATTTCTCAAATTTATGGTAAGATAAATGTTTTTTATTAGATAATATATGGTAGCTAATTATAATTTATTCTCTTTCAGCCCCGAATAAGCCAAATTAATTCTCTTTGGCGAAAACGTTCGGCACAGATAGGAAACATAAATAAGAACACGTGGTATTTCTTTTGCTGTGCTATGTTTTAGAAAATTATTAACTTTATTCAGTTCAATTTATTGTTTATAAAACAATATCTTTTAATGTCCATCCATTGTCGTAAGCTTCTTTGCAATTTTAATATCGTTGACTGCTACATGTCTTTTTGAGGTAACACACTTGTAATAACTTTTCTATGGATGTTTGGTTTTTCATATTGTTCTTTTTAGATAAACTGGTCATGCTTTTTGATTAGAAAGCGGAACGTCTTTAATAAATAGATGAAGTAGCCACCTTTTTTGTCTTTTTTCTCTCCACCTTTTGACCGAAAAACCCACCACTCATCGAGTGATTCTTAATTTATATTTAATTGACGGTCGTACTCCTTTTCTCATATATATATATATATATATATATATATATATATATATATATATATATATATATATATATATATATATTGTTATGAGATTTTCTAATTTAAAACATGGTTATTGCAAATTAAATCCGAAAGTAAGCATGTGTTTCAATTGTTTATAATTATTAAAATAAACAATAAACACATTTAAATCATATTTCTTGTTCAATTTATTAAAGTTTGTAATTTGAGAACGATTTCCAATACAATAATTATTAATTTAATATTGTAGCACTTACCTGGCGTTACAGCGTATGCTACAAACACAAATTGAAAAAAAGATATTATTAGTTGGGTCAATACTGTAATCTCAAACGGTAGCCACGTAGGAAACATTGTCCAGCAATTTATGTGTAAACCTTTCTTCTCTGCTTCCTTGACACATATAGTGCTTTCATATAATGTTGCTACTTCGTATGAGCTTACCATGAAACAAAAGTAGATTATAACTATAACCATTACCCGATTGCAGAATTCTATTGTTTCTTCTGTTTTGGGAGGTTTGCCAAACTTTCTGTAATCTGTAAACGATTGTAGGACCTTGGTCCATTCTTTTGAGTAAACCGGAAACCATATAGCTATGTATGCTATTCCTACTGACGAGACTATAAGAGCTAGGTCTTCGCTAATATCTATATTAAGATTTTCTGGAAAATACATAAATATTTTGTCATGGTATTTTAATAAAATATGGAACAAGCATGCCTCCATTATTATAACCAAACAAATTACTATTTACACTTCTAACTTATATGTTAACGAAACACAAGCAGTTGTAAGAAAACTTAAAAATAATTATTGGGAACGTTTTTCCAAAACAAATGGATTTTTATGGTATCCAAAAGAAATATGACTTTATAGGTAAAAGACGGTTTAACTTCATTATTGGTGACGAAGACAGGGAAGTGATTACTGTCATAGAGACTATGAAGCATGTACCAGATAAAAGAGGAGCTGCTTTAGGGTCACTAATCTTCTTCTGAAGGTGCCTTCTCCATTACTGAAGGTTGGATATAACTACAGCAAATTGCTCTCTATCTTAAGCTGTTTTTAGTGTCGAATGTATGACCATACCTGTCCAGTCTCTTACATTCTTCAACCAGGAATATTTTCTTCTTCCTGGACCGCTTCTTCCTTCCACTTTCCCTTCCTTTATAAGTCGTAGAAAATATCTCTCTCCTCTGTAAATATGTCCCAGATAACTCGTTTTTCTGTTTTTTACAATATTTAGGCGTTCTCTTTCGGTACCCATTCTCCTCAGCACCTCGTTGTGGGTCACGTGCTCTGTCCAAGAGATCTTTAGCATCCTACGAAAAACCCACATCGTAAAGGCTTCTATACGCCTCATGCTTGATATCCGAGTGTCCATGTTTCCATTTCGTATTCTTCTTCTTTAAGTTCCATCTTCTATCGGGAAAGGTTGGAAATCATTATGGCTATGCGGACTCTGTTGACTGCCGCTCTAAAAAGTTCTGCACTACTGCAATCAAACCATTCCCTTAAGTTCTTAAGCCAGGATATTCTTCGTCTTCCCACATTTTTGTGTCTTTCCCATATTTTGATCGACTCCATTTCGTATAGCAACATGAAATAAATAAATGTTTTTTTTTAAATTGGTATCGGATATCCAACGATAACGTAGAGTTTATTAAAAAAATTTTATTCGTTGAAATGCGGACCTAGCATATTCTATACGAGCACATATTTCGACCTCGTGGTCAAGATCGTTTGTTATCCAGCAACCAAGATACTGGAATCTTTGTACTGTTTTATATGTTTGTTATAGATACGAATGTTAATGTCGACATTTGGTGCACGTGTAACAGCCATTACTTTTTTTTATTGGTGTTAATATTTAGTCCCAAGCTATCTCCCTCTCTGGTTATAAAATTTAAAAGTCGTTGTAAACCGTCAGCACTGTCCGCAATAATGACGGTGTCGTCTGCGTATCTTAAGTTGTTTACGTATTCTCTGTTGATTTTTATTTCTTCTTCAATATTTTCGAGGGCATTTTGAAAGATCTTTTCGGAATACATATTAAATAACAGTGGAAAAAGTACACAACCCTGACGAACTCTACTTTTTATTGACAATTCTGCTGTAAGATGATTGTCTATTTTGATCGACGCCATTTGATCCCAATATAGTTTTTTAATAAGTGCTACAGTGTTATGGTCTATCTATACCATGTTCTGTTAGGGTTTCTATGAGTTCTGTGTATTTTACTCTATCAAACGCTTTTTTGTAGTCGATAAAACAGAGAAGTACGTCTTTTCGCTGATATCGGCATTTTTGTAATAATATCTGGAGGCCAGATAATGCCTCCCTTGTAACAAGCCCCATCCGAAATCCAAATTGATTGTGGTCGCTCAAGTTTCTTTCGCATTCTGTGTATATTCGTTGATGTACAATTTTCAGAAAATGGCTCATCAGGCTAATTAATCTGAACTTTGAGCATTTATTTGGTTTATTTTTCTTAGGTATAGGTATAAATGTCGACCTCATGCCGTCGATCTAATGTAGATCTAGGGTCCCTAATGTTAAGATCAATTGACGAGAAGGAACCATATTGAGTATGAAAATATGTGCTACTTTCTGTATTTAAAAGGTTAGCATCATGATTAATGAGAATATCCTCAATAATTTTATCCCTACCAAACGTATTTTTAGATCCCTATGGAGTATTATGGGCGTTTAGTAAGTATGAATGAAGCTGGGATTTGGTTGATGAAATTTGAAACTTCAACATTGGTAAGAATATAGTTAGGAGGAACATAAAAATTGCATATGACAATTTCAGTGGGACACCATGCCGTTACGGCGACAGCTTCTAGGTTTGTGTTTAATGAAACATAAAAATAGGATCCGCCGCTGGCTTTTAAATGTTGTTCTAATAAAATGATAGCTATAATATATTATATTTACTGGGTGGTGAATGACGTTTAAAACTGTTGAGATGATTTAGATACGTCAGAGTTACTGTCTTTGTGAATTATGTCATGAGATATATTAATGCTAGATACACTTTTGACTTCATCAGGTTCCGATGGAGTTTAATTTTTCTCTTGATACGTGTAATGCAATATCTAATTAATCATTCTTAGAGAGACGGGTGCCAAAAATTGTAAATTTAAGAGCAAAGATTTAATATCACTTGTAAATTCGAACGCTTCTAATAAGGATCGTTATTACCAAAGGTGTCAATAAGGAAAGATTTCAAGTTATCTTGTAAAGGTATAATTGGATCTGGTGTTTGATTGTAGACCCCTTTTATATAATTTTTGGTTTGTTCAGTTACACCGATTTCTATTGGCGGGTTTGTCCTTCGTTTCTTTTTTTTTTTATTTTGTTTTTATAATTCTGTATGTAACTGGCAGGTGAAATGGGTGGAGTTATGTTAACAGTGTCATCGAGATAGCTATTTTCAACGATTTCGTTGAAGGGCTGGTTCTAGTACAGTAATTGTTTCGTTATGTGCAATATCTGTGATAGGGGCCAAGCTGGAAGTGTCTATAGACTGTGTGTTATCTAGTAGAAGGATTATGTTCGTGGATGGTTCTGGATTTGATTTTGGAAGTTGTTTCAAATTCCAAATTCTGCAATTAGAGGCGATGTGTCCTGATTGCTTACAGAAAAACATTCCATTTTATCTGCTGATAAAAAAATTCTATTTTTATTACTTTTAAAAGAAATCACAATTTAAGTTTATAATTTATAATTGTCTGTCGTAAAATAAACATAAACTAAGAATGTGAGAATA